AATACGAAACGGGAGGGATTAACTTTACATATATATGCTGCTGGAATCTATGCGGGAATTGTTCAAGGAGCAGACATAGGCTGTTCAACTGATATAACACTTCTTCCCACTCCAACCCTCGCATCGGTCGATAGGAGAGTAATGCAAGGTGATCCTAGGTCACCCAAGCTTTTCACAGCTTGCATCGAAAGGGTATTCTGAGAATTGAACTGGAAGAATGGTCTGAAGATAAATGGTAAGCGGCTAAATCATTTGCACTTTACGGATAACACTGTTCTCTTATTGCCAACAATCCCGCGAAATAAACGAGATGCTGTAGGAACTCAACGCATGAAGACAGTGGGCCTGAAAACGAAGGTGTTACAATATCCCAGTAAGTCCGCAGCAAGATTGCAGAGAGACGGTGTGGACTTGGAAAAAGTTGACAGTTATATCTATCCCGGACAAGTGAGTATGCGACACAATCTGCAGATTGCACTTCGAAACGCTGCCGGCTGGCGCAAATCTCACAGCATCGTCGATGTCCACAAAGTGTCGAACTGGAAAAACGAAAGCTGATGATGTTACAAGGATGCTGCTCTGCCTGGCCTTTCGACTCCGATTTCATACTTCCAGTTAGCAGTAAGTGGAGTTATGCAGCCGGGACCGAACAGACTGGCATGGTTGTGCTCGGCGTGTGGAAGCTTCCTAGTAACAGCACTAGCACAGGAATCCTACACTGAGAGGTCGTGGTATTTTCTTGTATGTTTATAAGATTCAAGAAGCTAAAAACAGACCAACTCCTGTTCATCATGAAGCACAAGGCGTTGCTCCGAGCTGACAGAGGACCCTTCGTCACTGCTCTCGTCCGAATTACCACCATCTGATGTGTTACCATCATCCGCCCCAACACCATCCGAAATTGCTGAATTTTCAAGCGATGATCCCATATCACTCGACGAATCCATATCGTCGTCGTCATCGTTGTCATCGGCCACTTCCTCCTTCAAACAAAATCTCCAAATAATCTGAGATGTTTAGGCAGCATCAAAATGGATTTTCGTCTCATCCTCGAATAAGGAAATAATTCGCAAATAACTGCTGAAGGAAAATAAATCAATAACTCACATAAACAGAAAAAAAAATAACGCCAGGCAAAAAAAAGAAAAAAACGGGAAATTCAACTAAAAACAGAAAATCAGGCTGTAATGGAACCAGGAAACACAACATACTGGTTCGTCATCGCAATCATCCGCCCCGCGGCACCTGCCAACCTCGTAAAGGCGACAGGCATTTTCCTGTAATTCGAGCATATCCTCACTATTACCATGCGCTTCAATCACAGCCATATAACGATCATTGTGATCGGCACAAAACCCAAATAACGCTCGTTTAGTGTCCACCGTTGTAATTGCCTGTAAATGTATGATGGCTTACTATGCGATGCAAATATCAAACTTCTTACCAGTAACAAATGGGCGGAACTACTTTTCA